AGAGAGAGAGAGAGAGAGAGAGAGAGAGAGAGAGAGGGAGGAGGGTGTTCAAAGATAACTCATCTGTTCCTCTCTCACACACTCACACAGATCTGCTCGGATCCGGCTGCTCTTCTGGATTTAGTCACTGAAGACTCGGGACGCTTTCGGCTCACAGAGCTTCAGTCCAAGAGGAGAGAAAGAGACAGACAGAAGAGTGTATCAGCGTCATTCTGAAGGTCAGTGTGTGTTTGTGCGCGTCACAGCATGTCTTTCTGTCTCTTCGCTTTCTGACTAAATCATGTTTTTGTAGTATTTTACACACGCTTTTACTGCTCCGGAGTTTCTCAGGAAACTTTTCAGCATTTAACTTCGTCTCACATGTAAGTAATAAAGTAAAGAGTATAGAGTAATGAAAAGAGGCAATTATTAGTTGACAAACAGTAAGAGCAAGGAGCTATCAAATTAATTTGGATAGCAGTTCAGATCATTTATGAAATTTGAGTTTTGAGCACAGATTGAGACAATGAGATCTTTATTCTGATAACCATAACTAAAACCATAAAAAAAACATTTTCGTTACATAAATGTTAACTATAAAAAACTGAAAGCTGAATGAAAAATGTTTCAGCTAATTGCTTAGGGAACATTTCTCATTTTTATTTAAAGTACTAAAAACTAAAACAAATAAATAAAAACTAATAAAAATATACAAGCAATTTTTTTAAATGACAAAATTGCAAAAACATGCAGCAAAATTACTAAAACTTTAGCTAAAATTTAACTAAAACTATATATACACATATAGTCACATTATTAAATAATTAAAAATTACAAAAACATGCAACTAAATTACTAAAACAAACTAAAATATAATTAAAATTATATATACATAAAAAAGGAATATTACAAAAGCATGCAATAAAATCACTAAAACTTTAACTAAAATTAAAACAATTATTAAAACAATATAAATTAAAACAAATTCAAAATATTAACAAGAACTATAATAGCGTCTCAGTGATACTGACCTGAGATTACTGTGATCAGGAGACACTTCTGAGGATGAGAAGAGTCTTCAGCAAAAGTCTCCATTTAGTCTCATTGCTGTCTATGAGAAATAACTGAGAAATTAAGAGATCTCAGTGGATCTAGTAGAGACTGACTTACCGTTTCAGAGGAAAAGCACAGGATCTCGTGTTAAAGCGAACGCCGCTGCTGGAGTTCAAAGTGAATCAGCTCGTTTGATGTGATTCGGCTGAACTGATGTGAACAGTGTGTTTGTGGCTTTCCATTAAGTTTCCAGAGAAGCGTGCTGCATTTGAGACACAATCACTGACATGTGTGACCAGCTGTTATATTTTGTGCATCGTCTGAGTTATATTATACTGATAAAATATTAGGCAATGTAAGGCAAGTGCACCAAAAGCCTAGATGTGTGTTTGCTTTTTATAATACATAAAAAAATGACATTCATATAAAAAAAACATTCCATTTTAGAATTTTGCAACCATTACGGGAATGTTACTTTTGAATGTTCTCCGACTGTTCTAAAACAAGTAGTAACATTTAAAAAAATGTTAGAAGAACATCCAACTTGACATTCTAAGAACTTTAAAATGTCCAGTTTTCCTGTCATGATTAGAACATTATTTAAAGGTTTCAGGGGGGACAAAAACGTTCCAAGAATTTCGTATAATGTTTTTTTCTGCTAACATTTAGAGAACATTATCAAAGACACACAATATGCTCTAAGAACATTTAGCTAATGTTTCCATTAAGTTATTTCTGAATGTTCCCTTAATGTTCACAAAAAAAGTTTTTTTTTTTTTTTAGTTCAGAGAACATAAAAAAATAACATTTTTATAACTTAATAGGAATGTTAGCAAATCGTACTTAGAACATATTTTTGTTAGCAGGGAATCTGGTCTTTAATAATGTCCTCAAAACATAAACACAAAAGCGTTATTTATACATGGTTCATGGTCATGGAACATTTTATTTCTAAAACATTTTAGTTGGATGTTCCTCAAAAGGTTTTTTTTTTTTTTTAATGATACTAGTTGTTTCAAAATGTTCAGAGAACATTCAAAAGTAACATTCCCATAATGTTCGCAATATTATACAATTGAACGTTTCCTTAACGCTCGCCATTTAAAAAACTGAAAAGAACGGGAATAACGTTTTTGTAACTTAATGGGAACGTTAACAAAACGCTTTTTGTTTTAAGCTCTTTCAAAAGCAATGCTCATTATATAAGCAGCCAAATCTTCCTTTTTCGCTATTTAACTGTTTTACAGATTGGATTTTTCTCTACGCAAACATCTATTGTATTTATTTAATTTTTCGCATATCAAATCAAAGTTGTCATGTTTATCACTGCAAAAAAATGGTTTTCTTCCTTAGTATTTTTGTCTTGTGTTGTAGTATAAATATCTACAAATTCTGGAATTAATATGCATTTACTTGACAAGTAAAATGACTTAAGATATTAGGTATGTCTCGTTTTCTGAAATTATCCAAATTTTGTCAGTTTTTGCTTAAAACAAGTACAAATATCTGCCAATGGGGTAAAATTATCTGGATAATATTTTCAGTCATTTTACTTGTCAAGTAAACGCATAGATATTTATACTAGAAAACAAGACAAAAATATTAATGAAGAAGCTATTTTTTACAGTTGTGTATGTTCTTGATTCACACTAGTCTTGTGGTGAAATTTTCAAAAGCAGAGCGAGTTTTAATGAGGTTAAAATCTCGCCCCATTGACATCCATTGGAACTGCATGACTCTAAAAGCGATTTTTGAGTGAACGCATCACAGACGCCGCCCATAAGGTCGCATTGTATCGAACCCAGAACAGTTTCTCTTTGTTTGTATCCTGTAGAGACACTTCCCACCGAACTCTTGACAGTAGGAGTCTTTGATCCACAATGCGGCCCCCCAAAATCCTGCTAATGGCCGCCGTATCCTGTGTGCTGATTGGTGGAGGAAACTGTCAATCAAACTCATCCGATGGCTTCCAGCTCTCCGCTGACCCCAGCTCAGGTCACCGGTCTCTGAACCGCGTGACCTCTGACCCCAGAGCTGTCGGGTCGGTTCGTGTCCAGCCGCTGTCGCTGCCCCCGGCGTGTCTGAGGAGGACCTACATCGAGGGCTTGTTCAAATACGTCAACACGGTCCTGTCCTGCCTCATCTTTGTGGTGGGGATGGTGGGAAACGCCACGCTGCTGAGGATCATCTACCTCAACAAGACCATGAGGAATGGCCCGAACGCTCTGATCGCCAGCCTGGCGCTGGGAGACCTCATCTACATCGCCATCGACATCCCCATCAACGTCTATAAGGTAACGAACCAATCAGATCACTCCATCACGTGTGTGTGTGTGTGCGTTTATTAGCGATTACTGCACAGAGACACGAAGGCTGAGTATCCAAATGCAGCTCTTTATTGAAAGGTAATCCAGAATCCGTAGTCTATAAACAGGCATAAGGGCAGGGTAGTCCAAACAAATACAAACAGGGCAAAACAACAACCACGACAAAGGAACCAGAATCCAAGGGCTAAGAACAGCAGTGTGACATTAACAAGACTAAACAAAGAACGAGAGAAAAACCAGGCTTTAAATAGAGTGAGACTGATGGGGTAACAAGACACAGGTGAATGCAATCAATAAACAAAAGTTCAGGCAAAGGATTATGGGGAATGTAGTTTTGAGGGAGTGACAACAGTGTGAGGTGGAGTGCCCTCTGGAGGAGCTCATGGGCACTGCAACCGGTGATCGTAACAAATATATTGTAAAATGTAATTTATTCCTGTGATCAAAGCTGACAAACACAGGCATCAAGAACCAATCAGATCACTCGATCACGTGTGTGTGTGTTTATTAGCGATAATTTGCGCTCAAACTTGCTTTTGGTGTCATCCTCAAACAATGAGTTACCAATCATGTAAATAATGAGGGTTTGGGTTTTAATCAGTCTTTAGTTAATATTATACACCACCAGTCAAACGTTTTTGAACAGTGAGATTTTTCATGTTTTTTAAAGAAGCCTCTTTTTCTTTTCTGGATTTATTTGATCCAAGGTACAGCAAAAACTGTTTGATTATATTGTAAAAACACAGGCGTCAAGAACCAATCAGATCACTCGATCACGTGTGTGTGTGTTTATTATAATTTGCGCTCAAATTTGCTTTTGGTTTCGTCCTCAAAAAATTATTGAAAATCATGTAAATAATGGGGGTTTGGGTTTTAATTAGTTTATAATTAATATAATTAGCTTCATAGGTCTATGATTCAGATACCTAGGTCAGTGTTATTTAATATTAGTCTCAGTGTTATATTAGTATATCTTATATATTATTTTTGTTTATATTATAATTTAAAAAAATTGGCTTTTAATTTTAATTCATTTTTAGTTTAGGTTTTAGTAAGTTCATTATTATTATTATATTTATTATAATAATAAGTATTTTTACTAGGCTTCTATTTAGGTTTATTTTTTATTTCAGTATTTTTTATTGCCGCATTAAACTAATTTAAGTTCAGTTATTTCTAATTATATTTTGGTTCATACATACATGCAAATCAAAATATTACATAGAAATTATACATACATTATAAATACATATAATTAAATAAGGTAAATACAGTATAAATGTATTTGTATAATTATAGAAAATATTTATTTAGTATTATTATTATATTATCATATACATTTATTATATAATCACAATATAATGAATAATATATATTATACTGTACTATTTATATAGTCTTATTTAAATGTCTTATATATAAATTATATATATAAACATATATAACGTATAAATACATTTATTTTAACATAAATATATGAATATAAGTATATTTGTATATTTCAAGTAACTGTTTCAATTTGTTTAATAATATTTTATCATATATGTGAAATTTAATATTTTAAAATCTTTCAGCTTTATTTCAATTAATGAAAGCGGGTTTTAATAGCTTTAGTTATAATTAACAATAACAGCACTGAGGTAAACATGTGCAGCAGTGGGTCAGACAGACTTATTTCGGGACAGTTATCAGTCTAACACTCAGCACACGTTCAATCTCAAACACACACACACACTGTTATGAAGATAAAAGCGCTTCATTCGTTTGTCTTTAAATATATCACACAGGTTGTGAAGATATGCGTTAACAGTCTGTGTGTGT